ACTTTTTTTTTAAATAGCTAAATCTCCAAAATTGGTTTATCTCAACAGTAAGATCTTTTTATTTATGATTGTAATGTTTATGACTGGAGACTTCATTACCTCTGTTACAAAAGGTTAATAACTAAAGTTCTACATTTTCATAAATTCACAATCCTCTATATGTAGTTAATATATTAACATTGTCATTGCCATTACATTGGTGTGAATTCCCATCAATTCATGGTGCAGTGCAAAGATTGTGAGTCCCGTGATTTGCCAACGTTTGTTCAGATTGCTAATAACAATTCAATAGCTCACCTTCCCCCAACCAGAATGGTTTATCTTTTCATAAACCAATCGGTAAATTCTAGAAAGAGAAATATCATTTCATACAACAGAGGGTTGCAACCTTAGTTACATTGCAACAAGCCTGTACATCATGCTGCATAAATTGTTTTGAAAAGATAGAGCCCAAATTCTAAAGGTATAGAATTTGATTGCTGAAAACTTTGCAGAAATGTATTATTCTTACTGGAAACTAAACCCAGTCAAGTGGAGTAAGAGGTAGAGAGAACTGTAGATACAACAAGGGCATTTCAGTGAGACAGGATGGAGATCCACTTGACTGATGATCGCTGAGAGTCAGAAGTGAATTGTTTCTGGCAGCTTCACATTACAGCTTTTCATTGTTGAAAACTATCTTCAGTGCATTCCTGATTCCTGATTTAGACTTCAAATGTTCAAGACTGAAAACACAAGTATATCTCTGACTGACATTCTGAGACATTCTAAGAGAGATCATCAAATTATGAGGCAATGGTCATAATAACTGATTTCAAGATTCCACATTTGAATTCATTACTATAACGTTTGTACTCTTTACTGCTCTTGGTAACAGAAATAAAGCTAAGCAAGATTTTCAACTTTTCTAACAATGGTCTTACGAACATTGAAATACAAGATGTCCTACAGAAAAAGGTTCATATAAATTTCATTAGAAGCGTAACTTGAAACTCAGATCAGTCAATTCTTCTGCTTCGGGACAAAGAGAAGCTAGTTCTCCATTGATGTGCCTGACCCCCATTGCAGACTGTAGTGATAGCAATGAGGTTGGCTAGTGGATTCTGGTTGTTCCCTGATTGGGGCTGTTAACCTGGGCTAATCAGGGAATCATGGCTGACAGGTATAAACATGAGTTTCAGGGATTCTCCTCACACTAGGGACTGGCTCTCAGCTAGCTGGTCAGAGTCCATGTACTATGCACATATAAATAAAGGGTGACTTGGTGACGGGGTACTGGCCTCCATGGAATTAAATCACAGATTGCCTATGACATCCTTATAGACCATGGTCAGCCTGATGGGTGATCTTCAATCTCCTTATGAACATCACTGTGGATTGCCATTGTGGTCTGTCCCATGAACTGTTATGAATATTGTATTTTCAAGTTTACAAAAATGACTTGTTTGATAACTTGCTTTGATGTACACTGTTTGTACTTTAAGTAGTCATAATCGCATGGCTTAAAACAAGTGATGATACAAGATGCACTCTTTATAACACTTTAAAAGTCCTGTAGTTATCTTTTCTGTAACTTAGTAGACAATGTGCTGAGTAAGATTTTTGAAATATCGCCAATCTTCCCAACATTTCTTTAAGCAGTCAGTATAATCGTTCCTTTTTTTAACTAATGCATTTGGCCAGACTCAGCTCTTACAGCAGGCAACTAATATAGAAATATTTACATTTCTTCAACTTCCGGTCTTTGCAGCTTTCTTGCAGTGGATAAATTCAAGCCCAAAATATCAACAAGATAATGTTCAAATTATTGTATTTGTTTCCTTACTTTTGTAAATGTGTAAATGACAGATTCCGATACAATACTTTTAAAAGGGTAGTTTTAAAATTTGAGTTCATTCCTTCTATGAAAGTGAAAAGCTGCTAATATGACAGTGAAGCTGTCAGATGGTTGTAAATTCCTAATCGGTTTGCCACTGTCATTTTGATTGGGAAATTTGCCACTTACCTAGTCTGGCCTTTTCGATGTCTCTGGTTCCAACCAAGTTGACTCTTAATTATTGCTGTAAGATGGTCTGCCAAGTCATTCAGTCACACCAAACGACGAAAAGATCTATCATCTCCTTATCAGGGCAAACAGCTATGGTGCCAGACTGGACAGTAACACCCAAGATGAATGCTTAAAATTAAAATACTTTGTACTTTTGTATTTTATTTTAAAATAATATTTACTTCATTTAGTGATGAAAGATGAACAATTTACCCAATCATCACAACTGCATGGACAAGTGATGTGAAATTGTGATGCTTTGTGTCTCACCATGTAAGGCATTCACAGCAATCTTTTTGAAAGGACCACATTTCCTTAGAATAGATGTTCTAGCAGTTATTTTACAGAGTTTACATCATTGTAATAAGTCCATGTTTCTTCTGTTACTGTAATCTTTAACAAAAATCGTCCACAATGAAAGTCCTCTATTGAGATGATATTGACTTTCAGAGGCCCTCAGGAGTCTATCGTTAAATGTTTTGAAGTCATTGGAGAGCAGTATTCTATTCTGAGTACAACTTTCTTATTAAAGACAGCACCCACATTGAATTACTTGGGAAACTGGAAGTAGTTGGATTTGCATGTATTGATGATAAACAATAAAAAGGGTTGGAATCCCACCCACCATATATGTCAGTGTCCTTTTGAAATTCTAACTTCCTTCCACTTTGAGCTACCCTCAGGCCCTCATCCTTCTCACAAGTTGGTTTTAACCCTCCCAAACAGCACTAGTAAATATTCCTGCCAGGAAATCAGTCCAGCTTGTCAGATCTCAATTGCCTCAGAGCTCACCTCAATGCCTTAGAAACCTGATGCCTTCCTCCGATACCAATTCTATAGCCACACATGTTCAATCGATCAGTCTTCCTATTCTGATGTTCACTAGCATGTGGCACTGGGAGTAATCCTGAGACTACTGCTCTTGAGATCCTTTTTTTAAAAATTACCTTTCTTGATTTCCTATGCTCTGCTTTAAGCTCTTCATTTCTTTTCAAGTCATTGGTACCGATGTGTACCGAGACTCTGGCTGTTCACCTTCTTCCAGAGGAATATAAATCCATGATTCCAGCCACCATCAAGTTCCAAAGCCTGGAGCTCCAACTTGTGAGGGCAATGATATTTCCCGTAGATGTGTTCATCTAGGATACATGGAATATCCTTGACTAGCCACATACAGCAGAATGTACATTCCATTTCTCTCAACAGACCTGCCCTACTGTCACTTAAAAAAAAACCTCTTTGTTGCAATTAGAATAAGTAGAATAACTCATTAGTCATTCACCACCCGGCTTCTTCCTGAGGGCTTTGTGTGCAGGGCTGAATTCCTACTGGCTCTCTGTCCCTTTTTTTTTTAGCTTCTGCTCTCCTGGAGACTGACAAAGTTAGAAAAAGAAAGGTGTGTACCACCAGAGATGAACTCAAAGTCAATGTTAGTTAAACCCACCTTGACTTGGCCCTGAACCTCAACTCCCCCTTCCCTAGACTTTCTCTCTTTGGTGCTGTTTCTTAGGCAAGATAGCAAAAAACATTTTATTCTTTAGTCCTGTGCTTGACATTTTTAAATGGTCATGTTTATTAATTACCCATATATTTCAGTTATCAGCTTATTACTTGTTCTTGTTCATTGTTGTCCAAGCCTTATCTTTCTGAAATTTGCCCCCACCTACCAAGTGAAAGAAATATTGAAATCTGGCCCCCATACGGAAAGCTTGACAACTCTGTGGTCTACAGGTTGACAATTGCTAGGAAAGTTAGCAGTTTTCTGCATTCTTAGAACAGTGTGCAAGCTAATACATGGTATGCTGTCTCTTACCGTTTAAAATCAATATTGTATAATTGCTTGCTTGGATTGTATAAGGAGAGATTGCGTCTACTCGTAAAGCATTAGCAACATTACACTCAGAAAAATGCTTTCTCCAGCTGAATAACAAAAGCATTCTGATGTTGTGTAATGTACTCTGTTTTTGTCAAGACCAACACAAATAAACTAGAGGAAACCTTCCAGTCCTCCAGATAGTTACATATTTGTTCCAAAAAAACTATACACAGTTGGAATATTTCTTTTCCTCTTCTCAACTTCTAATATATTCTGCGTAAATCAAATGTTATTCTGCTAGATATTACAACGTAACAGTTTCGTTTTTAAATCTCTTATAAAATTTTCATTAATTGCTAAACCATTTCAAGCTTTATTTTGTGCAGTTGGATGTTATATTAAGTTTAAACCTACAGCATTCACAGGTGTTTCAGTATATCACTTTTCAGCTACATTCTCTAATGGATGATGGAATCAAATAACAGTAACATACCTATTTGTTTTGTTCAGTCTGTCAGGAAACTAGAGGGCATTTATGGGCATCAATTTGAAATTATTAACAGAGAATAAAAGGAGCAGTTACAAGAAATTCTTTCATGCAAAGGGTTGTTAGGGCATAGAATGCCCTAATAGAAAATGTGGTGGAATTGGACCAAGGTAGTGTAAAAAAAACATGGATAAGTATTTGAAAAGGAAATAATGAAAGGAAATTATTGGGAAAACGGGTATTTTCAGAAAATGACACAGAAACAATGGGGCATATCATTGTCTTCTATATCATCAATCAGTTAATGCTAACATACATGAGCGATAATAGTGGCAGGTGTCTTTTTGTTTGTAATAACTAAACCTATAAGACCATGAAGGAACTAGATTCCAATCCTACAGCATTCCTGTTCAAGGCACCTATGTGTATTTGACCATTTTGACTTCATAAAAATTAGTCTAAAAGCCTCATATCCACACCAGATGTTGAATTTAGATAACACTAATCGTGACACTTTTATTGATACTTGCTTGATATGTTAATTTTACTGAGCATCTAAACCATATGAAAATCTGTAAACATTTAAAATTTACAATTATCAGTGTATGATGGCATGTTGGTTTTCTAACTGGCATGCTTCTGTACAATAGGTGTGTTTCAGGAAAAGCCCCAACTTCTGCTAAATAACATGCAAACATCCTCGGACAAGAAGAAACGAGGAGAGAATCTCCCATGGAATAAAGGAGGTACAACACAGAATACACGCACACGTCAGATGTGCAGTCATGTTTTTGTCTTGTTATTACCAATTTTCCTCCAAAATTGTTTCTGTTGAGCTAGTAGGAAATTGGATTCTAAACCAAAATAAGTATGTCAAAGCATTTTCTTTTGCTCAAAGGAGCTGGTAGTTTGGAACAGCATAATATGAAGCAGTACACCTGATGAGTTCTGTGCAATTGTTGGTATCATACTATAACTTTACAATAAAATCTCTTTGCGATGCAGAAAATGGTGGTTTTTGAGCTGATCTAAATGAAGACAATCATTTGCCCTAGCAATAATGGATAAATTTGGCTTTCAACATCCCTTTAGTACAAACCTCCTTTCTACCTACTGTTTATCTGCTGTCTTCTTTCCTACATTGTAAATAGTGCTCACCTGCCACTGCTTTTGTGCCACTAAAGTTACTTCTTTCCTCCCCAGCTTTTCTTTCTTTCCTAAAGCTTTTCAGATAATTATTTTGGAGGAAGTCACACCTTGTCCTGAATGTTACACTTTCCCAGGGGCAGAATGGGACAGGGGGGTGAGTTGTTGGCAGATGGGTCCGGGGAGCTAGAAAATTAGACACAATTCCAAAGGCACTGCTCATGCAACAATTTTACATGGGAAGATGGAGCAATTAGCTGCCTTTGCCCTTTATTGGGGCATTTTTCTTCCTGTTAGAGACCAGTGACAGTTGGGAAACCCAACAGGTTTCACTGCTTGGGGTGGCCACAGGCAATGGAGGGCTACTTTGTTTGCAGGGCCCCCATTTCCAAGGTCCTGCAAAGGGAACCCCTCCATTCAGAAGGTCTAATCCTGCTCTGTATGAGCCCCCCATCCCACCCCACACCACAACCCTACCTCTCCACCCCTAGCCCATGCAATACCCATCACTCTCATTTAACTCAGTATTTAGTCTCAGAAACAATTTCCTCTGGGGACTGAATGTAATCCCAGCTGCTGAAATCAGAGAGTGAAACAACTCCCAAACTGGGGATGGAAGACTCACCTTGAGCCGATTAATGAATCATTGACTATTTGGGGAATTGTCGAGATCTTACTCTTAGTACGGTGTAGAATCCAATCACACACGAGGAGAAAAGACCCAAGACCTGAATAGGAGAAATTACCCAAAGTTCCTATTCCTAATCACAACATAGTTACTACTGCTAGAATGTGCATACACTTTAACATGCTCCGAGGACAGGATTAATCCCCTTTTTCGTGCCAACATTGCTCCTTTAGACTCCATATGCGAATAGTGATAACTTGGCCTCAGATGACTAATTCCAAATATTCAACAATTCATTGATGAGCAAGTATGATCAAAACAATTTCAAAAACTGAAAAAATTCTTGAATTTTCATAACATCATGGAAATGGGGAAGTCTAATGTCAATTTAGTTCACTTCATCCTACAACGCTAGCATCAAAGAGCTGAAGATTCTGTCAGATCCAGACCCAGTAGGTTTTAACCTCCTTACGTGGGTAACTCATCCTCTTTCTGTGGCTAATGTTGCTGCATTAGGTCTCTTATCCCACTGGCAATACAGCTAGCTCAATTCTACCTTGCACTAAGCCCAAGTGATATTAACTGTCCTTAAAGAGTATACAAAATTTCAAAACTTAAGGAAAAACAAGATAAGAAGAAAGAAAACATAAAAAAGACAAATGTTGAGTTCTAATCTTTCTCTTTGAACATGCAATTTCTCAGCTTATCACTAGCATCTTTGCAATTTAAATATATTTTCTCAGGTGGCTTACGGACCGTTTATGTCACCAAGTATGAAGATGATGTACAACCTGCCATCTACAGATTTTCTTTGGATTCCTCTGTTCCCTGGCCATGGCATTTGCCATCAACAAGGAATGGGGAGATCCCATCATTTAAAGTGAGTTCCTGCAAAATGTCTTTTGAAAAGACTACAATCTGTAACAACTGAAGTAAGAAGTTCATACTTTAAGAAAATGCTTCAAATATGATTTTTTTAGAAGAGGGAAGACTTGGGCTGACCTGATAAAATAAAACAAACAAAGAATTTTCTATGGCAGTCACGGAGCAGTTGTTTCCATGTACAGGAGCCAAAAAACTAGAGGCTGTGAATAAACACTAGTCATTAATAAATCTAATAGGGAATATAGAAGAAATGCCTCGACTCTTAGAATGGTTAGAATGTGAACCTTGCTACACATGAGTATTTGAAGCAAATAATATGATTGCATTTACAAACAAGCTAATTAAGTACAAAGGAAGATATTATGAAAGAATTAAAGTAGATGGGAGAATGTTGTGTGGAATGTGTACTTATACAGACCACTGGAACTGAATGACTGTTCTTGTGCTGTTAATGCTATACAGTATTATCACCATATTTTAACAATATCACCTTCCCAATGAATTGCATTAGTTCTTCTGTGGCACAAATTGTATTGTATACAGAATACTCTGATGATTCCCTCATACAGATTTGAGCATTACGAGTTCGATCCCTGATCTATACTGGGAGCTGATCCCGCAGCAGATTGCTAAATTTGGCTTCAGTACTCCTATGACAGTATTCCCAATCCTTGATTAGATCCAATGACTTCTACTAGAAAATCCTTAGATGCAGACATCAAATAAATCTGCTAAGCTACCCTGCCACAATAAAATATCAAGCCACCACACATAACACTGATAAAAATATAGTCACTGGAGTAAAGATGGTTAATAATAATGCAGAAATGGTTGCAAATAAATCAACACCTTCAGAAGGGAAAGAAGAATTAAGTTGTTGAATTTTGATCACCCTCATTGTTTCCCATTTCAGATTGGTTTCTGATGGAATTATCCTTTTAATCCTTTGCTACCTCAATAGCAAGTCAGACCACACACTAGAATTCTGTCCTTAAGCCTCTCTATCTCTCAGTTACCCTTTAAGGCCTTCCTTAAAGCCAACTGCACCTCATTTTAATATCTTCCACCTTGACTCAGTGTCCATTTTTGATTAATTACTCACCTGAGTAATACACCAAGGTATATTTTTCTGTATACAGGGACCCTTTATACAGAAATGTAAATCTGAATTGTAATAATCACTTTATATCTTTCTACTTCCAAGGTTTACACAGCCCCCTATGGTAACTTTACAAAGAAGCTGACTGTCTGCTCTTCCGTTGTTGGGTTGCCAAGTCGCCAGTGTCCAAGGAAGTGGATGATCACATCATTATCATGCAATACAAGGAAAGGTTGGAAGCTTGATTTCCATTTCTATGCATCAGCCACTAAACAACGTCACACTCAGTAAGTTATAAGATTTGTCAAATGTCTTTTTTGCATTTCTTGCCTACCCCCATTCACCACCCCACCTGCAAAATGCATTCCTTTGGAGTGTCAAAGATTAAGACCTGCACCCTAGATTCATTTATCCATGCTGGTTTTACTTAGGAGTCAAAGTCACAGAACTAAGGTTGATAAATTAAGTTAAACTGCAAATCAGCCTTAATCTATTTGAATATCAGAATAGACTTGAAGGGCTAGGTGGCCTAGTCCTGTTCTAATGGGGTTATATATTTGAACTATTTAAAATGATTCTAAGGTTGTCAGCTTGCTCGCCGAGCTGGCTGGTTACATACAGATGTTTCGTCACCATACTAGGTAACGGCATCAGTGCGGCCTCCAATGAAGCGATGTTGTTTTACTCCGCTTGGAATTTATATGATCTGGCCTGTTAAGTTAGGTTGTGTCATTTCCGGCTCTTTTTCGCATGGGTTTCTATATGGGGTCTAATTCCACATGTTTGTTGATTGCATTACGAATTGAAAACCAAGTCTCTAGGAATTCCCATGCATGTCTGTGGTTGGCTTGAGCTAAGATGGTCAAGTTGTTTGTGGATGTTGGGGTGATTGCTGTGGAAATTGAGGATTTGGTCAGTGTGAGTTGTCTTCCTATATACTGTGATTTGGAATTCCCCGTTGGTCATTCATTCTACCCTGATATCTACAAACAGAAGTTGATTGTTGCCTTCCTCTTCTCTTGTAAATTTGATCCCGGTGAAAACATTGTTGATAAGATGGTGTGTTCTTCTAACTTGGTGTGTTTAATGATGACAAATGTGTCGTCCACATATCGGATCCACAGTTTTAGCTGTATGAGGGGGAGGGTAGTGCGTTCCAGTCTTTGCATGACTGCCTCTGCAATAAGTCCTGAGATGAGTGACTCCATAGGTGTGCCATTGATTTGTTTGTATATGCCCCAAGACACTGGTCACACTACCCTATATCAAGAACATATCAGAACTGACAACAAGACTCTACGACCATTAGGAACCATGGTAGCACAGAAACCCACAGCCACACTACAACAAACACTCACAAGGACCAAAGACCCCATATCCATGATATACAGGACCAACGTAGTTTACAAAATACCTTGCATTGACTGCAACAAACATTACATTGGCCAGACCCCCGGAAAGAAACTAACCATCAGGATACTCGAACATCAGCTAGCAGCAAAATGACATGACGACCTTTCCCTCATCTCAGTGCACTTGGACAATGAAGGTCATCAATTTAACTGGGACAACGTGAACATGCTAGCTCAAGCCAACCACAGACATGCACAGGAATTCCTAGAGGTCTGGTTTTCAACTCATAATGCAATCAACAAACATGTGGAATTAGATCCCATTTAGAAACCTATGCAAAAAAGAACCGGAAATGACACAACCCAACTTAACAACCAGATCATATAAATTCCAAGCAGAGAAGAACAACATTGCTTTGTCAGACGCCGCACTGATGTTACTAGCATGGTGACGAAACGTCTGTAAGACAACCAGCCAGCTCAGCGAGCAAGCCAACAACCTCATCCACAACCCAAGCTACAAATCTTCACAAGAACCTTAAAATGATTCTGTTTTATTTGTTCATGAATTGTGTGTATCACTGGTTAAGCTATCATTCATTGTCCATCCCTATTTACCTTGGAGAATATGAAGCTACCTATGTGAACCACTGTAGTTCTGATGTAAAGGGTATACCAGGAGTGCTGTTAGGAAAGAATCCAGGACTGTAATCTAGAGAAGGTCAAAAATCATGCGACACCAGGTTACAGTCCAATCGGTTTATTTCAAAACACTAGCTTTCGGAGTGTTGTTCCCTATAGTACCAAGTCAGAATAGTGTGTGCCTTTGGAGAGGAATTTGCAAGTGATGGTGTTCATTAGCATCTTCTGCCCTTGGTGGTAAAGGTTGCAGATTCAGAAAGTACTGTTAGATGAGCCTTAGTGAGTTAATGCACTGAATCTTGTAGATGGTATGCACTAGTCCACTGTTCACTCATGATAAAGGAAATGATATTGAAGGTATTCAATGTAACGCTACTTTGTTGTCAACTTTGTCCTGAAGGGTGGTGGTGAGCTATTCTCTTGGACCAATTTATTACAAGTTCATCCCCATTATGCAATTAAGAAAGGAGTTTAGGATTTTGTATGCACAACAGTGAAAGAACAGTGATATAATTCCAAGTGAAGATCATGTATGGCTTGGAAGGTGATATTGGAGGAGTCCGCGTGAATGGTTGAGTGTTTCTTAAAGATCGTACACACTACAACCACTATGTGTCAGTGAAGGAAGTGAATATTGAAGGTGGTGGATGGAATGCCAATCAAGCAGGATCCTTTGTCCTGGATGCTGTTGTTGGAGATGAACCCACTCAGACAAGTGGAGAGTATTCCATCACACTCCTGACTTGTGCCATGTAGCTGGTCAACAAACAATGGAGGGACTGGAGATGAGCTACTCGCCAGTGAATTCCTAGCCACTGACCTGCTCTTGTAGCCACTGCTTCTAAGTGGCTGGGCCAGTTCAGTTTCTAGTCATTGGTAAACCCTAGATATTGATGGTGGGGGATTCATTGATGGCAATGCCATTGCATGTCAAGGGGAGGTGGTAAGATTCTCTCTTGTCGAGATGGTCATTACCTGGAGTTAAGTGTGTGGTATGAATGTTACTTGTCATTTATCACCCAAGCATGCATATTGCCCAAGTTGTCTATGGACACAAAATGCTTTAACTGCTTCAATTTAATAGATTACACACAGAGGGTGGAATTCCCCACTCCCTTGAGTGGTGTAGGCGATTCTGAAAAACGTGGGAAAATCTCATGGTCTCTTTAAGGCTTAAGCTGCAAGTTCAGAATCTTGCTAATGAGCAGAGACTACCTAATTTCCATGCATTTAGAATAGCAATTTATTGTCACATGTATTTTTTCAAAACAAAAAATACAGTGAAAATTTTTGTAAGTCACCATGCCATGGCATCTAAGTTAATGACAGAGGTCATAAACAAGAAGAAAAAAAGTAAAAGTTCATCACAGTTCAATTAACAGCCCCTGGTTCGAGGTACACTGGAAAACCTAGATGAAACCACCGCTCAGAGCTGGGCCGAGACTGCAACGTCAGGGCAAGATCACTCCACCATGCTCAGATTAGACCTCCACGCTGGGCCATTAGAAGACCCAGAAGCCACCTCTGAAGCAAGGACAAGATGAGACCTCCACGTCAGGACTAGACCCTCACATCAGACTGCTGGAATACCCGGTAGCCACTGAAGAAGATCTCCACGCCAGGTGAAGACCACCCGACCAGGCGCTAAGACAATACCACCATTGGAAGCCACCTCATCGCTGGTCCTGGGCCAGGAGAAGATGCCTTCCACCAAAGATTTGCATCTCATTAATAGCCCAACTTACATTATTTCTGTGTAGCTTCCAATTCTCCTCTCCTTCCTTGAGAAATTTGATGGTACCAATTCCCAGCATGTTATTTAGAGTTATAACATTGGGCAGTAACTCACCACTTGGCTCCTCCATGTCTTCATCCTACATCCCTGCATGTTCCATGGACACCATCCTCCTCCACTCTTTGTCCAAGCAACTGACAAACCGCCAGTGTCACCACATCATCACGCCTACTTTTGAACCAACTTTCATATCATTACAGCCCTTCAGGATTTTGCTTTGGAGCTGAGCAATAGCTAGGTCTTACATGCTTCTACCAGGTTGCTTTTCAAATACTGGTACTCAGGACTTTCATTCCATCTATACTGAATGCATCTTAAGGCTTCATTTCTTCATTGTCAGTTACTTCACACTTGTTTGGAGGCTGCCAACCAACGTGATTTTCACTTCTTTATAATGTACAGAGAGAGCAGGCAGCTTGTTACAGTTCAGAGCACTGAACTGTCAAGTGGGTTGACATGTTGCTGTATAGCACTGTGCTACATTGATGTTACACCAACAGCATGTGCCAGCAGCTTACACAACAAACACTTTGCATATGTTGGACCAAAAGGCCTTGTGTGAAAGTTGAAGGGGACTAGTCCATAGTTGGGTTATAGGCGATTACCAGCAGTCAATAGGTACCATCACAATCAGTCAAGGGCCTTAACCAGCAAATTGGCCATAGTCAGTTAGGTGCTTGATCCTGCCAGAGCCTTACCAGTCCACAGATTGGGCCATGGTCAGACCTGCCGGTCAAATGCAACTAGTCAGGAGATTACAGATTATTTGGAGTGCTATGGAAATGCTAAGGGAGGTGGATGCTGAGCAACCTTTCCTCAATGGGACAAAAGGAGGGATTGATTATGACGGATGGGGATGGAAGAGCGGTCAGTGGTGATTCAGGAGCAGGAGAGATGATCCCAGTGAATGAATAGGAAGCTCAGATGGCAAGAAGAGTTGGTAATTTAGAAGAATGATGTAGGTGACTCTTGCATTCATGAGATCTGTAGTCGTAAGCCTTGGTGAGAAGGATGTGCTGTGGCTGATTTAGAGTGAATGGTGGTCCCGTGAGTGTGAGTTAACAGAGAAAAGATGATAGCACTTACCCTTTCAAAGCACAACAGATCATTAATCTTCTTCCTGCACCGCTCTCTTTTGTATTTCATATGAAACAATGCACTGACTTGGCCACTATCTCAGTCCAAGCTGGCTAGGTTTGTTGGCTGGTCAGCAGGATACAGCACTGTCCTTCTCTCCACTACCCCCTTCACAAACACCTCCAGGTTTCTTACAGCAAACTGTGGGGCTAACGTGTCTTACTGTGCCATTTCCTCAGAGGTGACAGTCTAAGAGCACAATGTGAAAGGTATATTCCTAGCTTGAAGCATCTGAAGAACGACAGAACTTGAGTTTAAGTATGACACCAGCACCATGAACATTACATTTTCAGCAGCAGAGAGTACTGCTGCTTAATTCCAGCAAGACTAGCACCATAAAATCCAATTGCATGATTAATGAGAAAATTGTGTAAAAATTATGGCATGACAAACTGGGCATCTTGAATCCCAATGGGAAAAATATTTTGCGAGAAAAAGAGAAAGTTCAGTCCAAAATAACTGCTTTTTCCTCTGGTGGGCATTGCCAAAAGAATGGGACAGAGTCTTAAAGAAGAGCTAGGTTACCCAGAGACGACACCAAGACAACATCTTCAAAACAAAGGGGAGTGGAAATCTGGAACTCCTATCCACTATCCCACCCCACCTAACGTCCCTCCCCCAACACCCCCACCCCAGCCCACTTAAAAACCTGCTGAACCTACGTGAATTACAAGTTTCAGAACTCAGATTGTTAGACATATACTTAATTATATATTGTATATTTTGCAAGGTAAAAATATTAAGGAACCAAGGAACGTAGATGGAGTTCAGATACAGATAAAACATAATTTAGTTTAATATCAGAACATGCTCAAAATGCTAAATGGCCTGCTTTGTTTCTATGTCTTCCCCTTGTCCACATAGCACATGAAGAAAAAAATTGTGAAAATTTTTTTGTGTTTGAGGTAAGGAATGTCAGTGCTGTCAGAACAGATTCTTAACATTCTACACTCAGGGTGAGCATCAAACTAAACTCCGACTTTAAGAATGCTCAGTCAATTTGGACCAACAACATGGCTTAACCCGATCTCAATAGAGTCCTTCCCAGCTGTCTACCACTTCTACTCCCACCACACCATGTTAATGCCTTTTATATATGAGATGACCATTTGAATGCTGCATCATTCAAATTTATCACAATTGAATCAAGGAGCTAGCGAGAAGCAGGTGGAAAACTCTCCACTGGTTGGAGTCATACTTAGCACAAAGAAAGATGGTTGTGGTTGTTGTTAATCAATTAATCTCAGTCCCATGATATCACTGCAGGAGTTCCTTAACATGCTGTTCTAGAATCAACAATTTTTTTCAGTTGCTTCATCAGTAACCATCCCTCCGTCAAAAGTTCAGAAGTGGGGATGTTCATAGAAGTTTGCACAATGTTCAGCATCATTTACGTCCATATGCAGCCAAAACCAGTAAACCTCAAAGCTTCATGCCATCTAAATACTAGGCAATATACCATCTCCAGCAAGCAAAAACCTCACCGTCTCCCCTTGATGTTCAACAGGCATTACCATCGCTGAATACCCCACTATCGACATCCTGAAATTGCTATTGACAAGGTATTGAAATGGCCCATCCATATAAGTACTCTGGCTACAAAAGCAAGTCAGAGGCTAGGTTTTCTTGGAGGAGTAGCTTATCTCCCTTGTCCATCATCTACATGTCAGTAATATGATGGAATACTCACCAGTTACCTGGATGGGTGCAGCTCTATCAATATTCAAGAAGCTTGACACATCCAGGAGAAAACATCCCATTTAATTGACATATCAAACACCTTCCACCTTCAGTTTCATCACAACTGGCACACAGTCTCAGCAGTGTTTATCATATTCAAGGTACACTGCAATAGCTCGCCAAGGCTCTTCCATCAGATCTTGAACGCCATGACCTCAACCAATTAGAGGGATCAGCAGATACATAGGAACAATATCACCTGCAACTTTACTTCCAAGCTGTGCATTATCCTGACTCCAAACATAAGAAATAGGAACAGGAGTAGGCCATTCAGCCCCTGAAGCCTGCCCCACCATTCAATAATCATGGCTGATCTGCCCCAGGCCTCAACTTCTCTTTCATGTCAGCCCTGCATATCCTTCAACTCCCTGATATTTTCAAAATCTATCTGCATCCTCTTTAAATATTTTCAGTGATCTCAATTCATGCTAATACATTGCCACTATAGTGGGCTCCTTCTTGTGCAATAAACTTTTATATGGAACCTTATCAAATGCCTATTGAAATCCAAATACACCAGTTTTATTTTATATTTACCAGTTCCCCTTGATCAACACTACTTGTTATATCCTCAAAAGTCTCTAAAAAAATTTGTCTAACATGATTTCCTTTTTGCAAAACCATGTTTGACTCTGTTTGATTGCATTAAACTTAATTAAATGTCCTATTTCTTCATTAACAATGGACTGTAGCGTTTTAGCAATGTCAGATGTTAGGCTAACAGGCCTATAGTTGCCTGCTTTCTATTTACCTTCCCTACATTAGCAGTTTTCAAATTTGCTGGAACTGGAATCCAGTGAGTTCTGGAATATTTCAGCCAATGTCTCCATTACTTCTGCAACTACCTGCTTTAAAATTCTTGGATGCAGGTCATCAGGTCCTAGTGGCTTATCTGCAATTAGTCCCATTAGTTTGTCAAATACTTTGTCCTCGCGATTGAGACAGTTACAAGATCCTTCCTCTCATGTGCACCTTGCTTATCTGTTAACATTGGGATGTTTATAGTGTCTTCCACCATGAAGACTTCAAATGATATCACTGTTCCTCCACTGTTAAAACCCTGGAACTTACTTCCTAATAGAACTGCAGATGTGCCCACACACCATGGACTGCAATGGCTCAAGAAAGTAACTCATTACCATTACACCAGGACAGTTAGAAATTGGTAATAAATCCTGGCCTAACCATTGATGCCCACATTTCCATGATTGAAAAACAAATAGAGATAGCTTTGCACTGCTCACTGTTACACAAAGAACAAGGATCAACGTCCCTGTAGCATCGCAACTTACTGAGAGAGAAAAAAAATTAAACCCATATATCCAAGATTAATTTGAAAATAGATTCTAAAGTTTGTAGGATATAATACACTAGAATACATAGACCCATGTTAAGATAATTTATAATTCTGTCTTATTTTCTCTGATATGGCTGATCCCACAGGAACTGCAGGTTCTTCAGTTAGTCAATGAAGTGACCATTCTTAATTCATGAAGCCAGACAATGAGTGTTAAATATTATTCAGCTATTACACACCTCATAACTGAACCCATATTTATCTTTGCCCAACGTCCATGCCAGTAAACTTTCAAACAAGGGTCACATGAATCCTCTCAGAGGCATGAATCCTCTCAGAGGCATGATATTCTGAAGAAGGGTCTAGGCCCGAAATGTCAGCTTTCCTGCTGCTCTGATGCTGCTTGGCCTGCTGTGTTCATCCAGCTCTACACCTTGTTATCCATGAATCCTGGCTGTTCATTCAAAACCCACAGCTCAACTCACCAACTCTGATGTATTCGTAACATGCTGCTACACTGCAACTAAGGTTGATTAAGCAACCACAGGTAAGAAAATTATCATCCTGGTGGATTGATTTTTCACTTTTAACAGCACATAGTGCACAGTATTGCACAGGACCATTGGAATGTTGCATTACACTTCCATAACCTAATTCCTTTTAGACTCAGTGGCTGGAAGTTTTTGAAATATCTAGGACCCCACTGCCATGTCTGAAAGCAGGGAGCAACTCCTGTTTGAGAGTCACAGGACAAGAGGCTGTGTGTTACCAGCTACTGCCAATTAAGTGGCACCTACCAAGGCTGACATCATTTTAAGTACAGTCGCTGTTGAATGAGAAGCCTGTTCATTCAAAAATTCAACAGCTTGGTAACCTTAAAAATTACTGGGAATGATGCTCATTGTTGAGCCTTGCCTTGGAGGACAGGGTGCACATCAAAGTAAGGTAAGTGGTTTTGTGGCTTTGGGTCTCTTGGCAGCAAGAATAGCCCTCACTGTGCTGAGAGAGTGGCCATTATTCAACGGATCCCTCCATAAGCCAAATGGCGCTCACTCATCTCATGCACCTACTAGGAGGCCCCCAGAGTGTACCTGACAGTCCCCCCAAACAGTGGAGGGTTGCGCAGCAGAGGTGGGAAGAGATACTTAATTGACCACTTAAATAGTTCAGTTGGGGTCCAGATGGGTGGGCGATTCCCCACCTTTCCTGCCAGTGGCAAATGGCATGGTGGGGTGATGTTGTCAGGTCTGCCAACTGAAGTCTCCCTACATCATTGCACCTATCTTTGTAGTTAGCTGTAAAGCCAAAAACCAATTAAATTCTGGCCAGCATCTCTGCAATTGTGCTGCCAAATATATTCACTAGGTAAGAGTGAAGAGATAAAACATACTTTTATCCGAGCTGAAAGCTTTTTTAGGAAATAGCGATTTTAAAAAGTAGGGTTCAGCAGGGTTGTCTCCTTGGGTTATTAGAAGACCTTCCATTTTGAGAAGGTCTGTTGCTCCCATATTTTGCCACTATTTAAGATGTTCACACCCAAAGCATTACTTGCTACTCCAACTTGGAGTCAAGTTCATCTCACAGTTTAAATTCTGGAATTTGTTTTAGGAAGCTATACTTCGCTCAGCTGCGGAAGACTCCCTATCACAGTCGGATCTGCCTAGCACCACCTGGCTGCATTCTTAGTGCAGGACCCAATGGTCCAAATAAAGGATTTTTCTATGTTCCTGATGAGAAAGGTAGGTTAACAACGATAACAAATTGTATTTGTATAGAACCAGTAGCATAGTGATAAATGCATAGGCATTTCCTAAGAGCGTTATCAAAATAATTCGACACCACAGCACACAAGGAAATATTAGGGAATATAACCAAAAGCAAGGTGCAGTTTTTAAGGAGCTTTGTGGAGATACAGAGAGGTTTAGGAAGGGGATTCCTGAGCTTAAAACCTTGGCAGCTAAAGGCATGGCAGTGATGGAGAGATTAAAAGATACACAGGAGACCAGAATTGGAGGATTGGGAATATGTCAGAAGATTGTGGGATTGGAAGAGGTTATGGAGATAGGGAGGATCAAGACAATTTGTGATTGAAAACAAGGATGTGAATTTTGAAATCAAGGCATTGCTTAAATATTAGTACAAATCAGCAATGTTAGATGAATTGGAAGTGAGAGTTAGGACACAGGCAACAAGGTTTTGATTACCTCAAGTTTATGGAGAGTAGAACAGGGGAAGCAGGCCAGCCTTGACTAAACAGGGAAATCTAGAGATGACAAAGGCATGGGTAAAGGTTTCATAAGCCAGTTAGCTGAAGCAAATATCAAGTGATGTTATCAACATGGAAATATTGCAGTCTTAAAGACAATGCGTATGTGGTCAGGAGCATGACTTGGGGTCAAGTATGACACAATGCTTGCACACAGACTGGCCCATTCTCATTGGTGGAAGGGAGGGAAATAGAGTCAGTGGCCAAACTGAGTTTATGTTAGGAGCAAAGATAATATCTTTGAACTCAGTAATATCTAGTTGGTGTAAATTTCTGCTTATCAGCATTAGATGTTACCCAAGCTGTGTAACAATTTAGAAATCAGTGGCAGGTCAAGGGATGTGCTGTTAAGATCAAATGGTGTGTAGCATAAATGCACATTTGGAAACTGTTGTGTTGGAAACTGACGTTGTTAGTTTAAATGATTCACCAAGAGGCAACATGTAAGAAATATCAGAGTGCAAGGATAGATTTTTGAAAAACAGCAAGGCTCCTTGTCCTTTTTCATAAATAATTTAGCCCTCATGATACAAAGATCACCATTTCCTTAGTCTTCCCCTCCTGACACTTGATCCACTTGACCTACCTCATTCCACGGAACTAATCAGCAATGTCTCCTTTTTTTGGAGTGGAAAGTACTGTTTAAGAAAAACTTCCTGAACACAACTCAGATACTCTTCCACCTCTCTGCCCTAAACACCAGTAGCATCATTGTTTATATGAGAATAGAATGTTAGAAGTCCCTCATTTTCACTTCTCTATACTTCTTGCACTTCTACATTTCCCTGTACATTTGCTCCTCCATCTTTACCATTAGTTTGTGCCTGAAAGAATAAAACCAGTAGTGTAAAAGCACTACTGTTACTCTTTAACTTAAACCTACTAGTCTTTGACAGCTCCAGCTCATTTTCTAGTGTTGCGATATTTGCCTTAAGTAACATTACCTCCCAACGTCCTTTCCTGCCTTCCCTAATTTCCTAAGCAACTTGTACCCAAAAAAAATTCAGTAACTGGTGCTGCCCTTTGTTAAGCAAGGATTCTATTATCACCTAAAGAGAAATGAAGGTTTAACTGACTTGATTGGTTTTTGAAGAGGTAACAGGAAGAATTGATGAAGTTATGTGATTGATATTGTGTAAATGGACTTCTAAAATACATTTGATAAAGTGTCATATATTAGTTCTGTGAGCAAAGTTGATGAAAAGCCAAATGATGGCAGCACATCACCCCGTTTTGACTCTTCCTGTTTTCCAAATGGAATGAAAGAAAGGCAAGTATTACAGGAGATAAAAGTAGGTGGCGCAGCTATTACAATGGGTGCAGATTGGGAGGTGTCCTGAGTGAGTGAATAGGCAGCACAGATGGCATGCTGCTTAGTAGTGTTGGTAGTTGGGTGATGGGGAGTGAAGGAAGATATTGTATGCTATAGTAAGGGCAGTACAATATCATCTTGGGTAGATAGAACAGCAGAGATAGAGTGAATATGAGATATCAGAGAGAATATGGAAGTACGTACAGTGGAGGAGTGGACCTTTTTCCTACGCTGACCTTCTTCATTGACCTTCTTCCTACAGTGCTGGGCATTTCTCCAGAAGGCTGAGACTGCACTGACCTGGGTCACAAACTCAGGCCAGGCTGGCATGGTCTTATGTTGTGGCCTCCACAGCTGATCCTGGAGAAGGAGGAGGTCCCGTATTGGCACCACCCCATCAGCAGGACTTTCAGGACCCAGCCCACAAAGCAGGGTGCCAATTCGCCTGCCTGTCATGTCAGGGACAAATGTCAGGAACCATACAGGACAATTCTGGATTGTGCTTGTCTGAATGCACACTACAGGCTTTTAAAGATGGCATGGTGCAACCAATGCTGGTGAATTCCAAATATCCTCTGAGTGGCAGATGGAGAGTGTGGCAGGAGAATGTCACCATTGAATACAATGGCTAGTTCAGACTGACATTGCTAACATCCTAGGTTGAGGACTCAAGACCACAGGAAAAGGAACGGGAAGAGGAGAAACATGTTGTATAAATAGTAGTGATCAAAAAGAAGGAATTTGACTATCAGGAGAAACAAAGCCTATCAAAATGGTGCATAATTTATAAAAGGTGCTGATATCCTGGTGTAATGAAGTACTTTTACTGTGCTTTCTCAGTCTCGAATATTGAGGAGACTCCAACATTTGACTTCAATCCCTGCATGAACAATGGTTGTGGGAAGCCAGCAGTGCGTCCTCTAGTGGACACAGGTGCTATGGTCTTCGTTGTGTTTGGTATTCTGGGAGTGAATCGCACAAGAAAGCAAGATAATCATGTGATAGGCGATATGGTACGTAACTGGCTTTGCGTTATTTTATTTTCAAGTTGTGTTGTATTCTTCCTTTTCCAGAGATCTGTTACAAAGTTACCCTACCTAAGTATCACAAAGGCATGATATTGACTTCAAAACCTTGCATGTTAATTGTTCTTAAAGGATAAGACTCTGTTCGTGTTTCCCTAAAATGCCACTATGAAGTGCGTGTAAGTGATTCAGTGGATAACTCACCCTCTGTTTCTTATACTACCTCCCTTGATGGGAGATAGGAATTATAGACCAAGGAAAGGGCCTCTCCGTTTGCTTCTCAGTTCCTCCATTTTTCCAGTGCTTTCTGTTTTTATTTGCATGATCTTTTCTGATGTATCTCTTTAATGATCCATTTATGATCTTTTCCAATTCCAAATAATCACTTTTACTTCTGTAAAAAGTACCTGACCTTCCATGAGAACCCATCTGCAATTGAGCACTGATTATGCAAAGCAAACAGTACCATATGTACTAAACCCATAAAAGTTCTGCCATTTGAAAGGACAAGGACAGCAGTGAATGGGGACACAGTCATTTCTGAGCTCCAAAATCATGCATCATCCTGACTCAAGGATGTCACTTGTCACCAGGACGAAATCATGGAACTCACTAACAAAATGCCTTTATCACACTAAAGTGGACAAAAAAGGAGGTGCATTACCAACTTCTCAAGGGCAACTTGGAACAAGTTATAAATGCTGGCCTTGATAAACATACTCACATTCCTGAAGTCACATTCTTTTTAATTGTAGCAATGCCCTGCAAATACTAGTCCCTAAAAATTGCCAATAAAACACTGGGAATTGTCTCAACAAATTCCTGATTATTCATAAAAGAATTAGTTAGTCATTAAAAAGCCTTTGTACTTTTAGCCATTCAAGGGATGTATCATTGACAACAGCAGCATTTGATGGCCAAAATTATCTCATTTAAGAAAGTGATGGTGAGCTGTCTTCTTGAACCTCTGCAGCCCATGTGGTGCAGTGATAGCGAAGATATTGCAACATGGTTCCAAGTCGAGATGTGCCTGCAGGTTGGAGGGGATTATGCAGGTGGTGATACTCCCATCCATCTGTTACTCTTCTCTTAGATTGTCAAGGTGACATATTTTGAATGCACTGTCAAAAGAGGCTAATTTTTTGAAATTACTATGTTGTGAAGGTACTATGTTGTGCAGCCTCAGTAGTGGAGGGAATGAGTTCTTAAATCAGTGGATGGAGTGCCAATCTAGCCAGCTGCTTTGTGCTGGATGGTGTTTGCCTGGGTCCAAAGGGTCATTGAATATATGAAGACTGGATGAGATAAAATAAATTATGATGTTGAAATATGACTAATTTCTTTATTGTCCATTTTTGTCTCTCACTCTCTTTCTCTCCTAAAGGGCAGTGTCATCTACGATGAGAGTTTTGACTTATTCCAAGAAATTGGAAATCTGTGCAAGATTTGCAAAGCTATCAGCAGTAATTCGGAATTGGTGAAGCCAGGAGGTGCTCAGTGTTTGCCTTCAGGTGAGATAAGAACACACATATGAAGCCAAACTCAAACATTGCTAAAGTAATTTGGTTACAGCTTTTCTTGGCAGATAGCAAATCAAAAAGTGGCAGAAAGACAGAAACAGTTGACACAGAAGAAGGTTGTAATCATACAAATTGTCATGTAGGAAAAGACTACGTAGTCCATCAAATGTGCTCAACATTATGATGGCTGAAGACGTCATGCCTATAAGTTTTCTCATTCCCTCCTAAAACCCAAGTGCCCTTTGCCCTCACCCAATCACCACACCAACATGTCATTTTCTGCAGTACTTTGTAGACTGACCTTGTGGTCCTCTAATGAGTCACAATCTGAACTGACCTAAGCAGTGAAGCACACATCCCATGAATTAATTTTTAAAAAATGGAACACCCTTCTCAATGTGTCAGTGTTTGATCAGTTAGTAGCATACTTGTTCCTGAGTCAGACAGCTCTTGACTCTAATCTCAAACCAAAAATGGAAGGACAGAAATTTAGGCTGATACTCTAATGCAATTCTGGCAGTTTACAGCGCTATCAAATGATAAATAGCACATGGCTCCATCTGCCATTTCAGATGTATGAAAAAAATCCCACGGCATTTGTTCCAAGAACAATATTCATCCTTCAATCAACATTGCAAAAAACTATTTTCTTTTCATTCTTACATTGCTGTTTCTGGAATCTTGTGTGGAAATTGCTGTCACCTTTTCTATATTACAGTAGTAACTATACTTCAAAACTGCAACAGCGACATAATTGACTGCACAACATGCTTTTGGAAGTCTTGAGGTTGTGAAAGGCACTACATACATGCAATTATTTACTTTCTTTCATGCAAAATCTAAATTACGCTCAGAAATGTCATGAGAGATTTGCTAGTACTTTTATGAATTTGATTAATGAAGCCCTGTTCCTAATGGGCATGGCCCCTAGCATAGAACCTACTCTGACCTTACATTGATTGGTGTTGAATTAGCAAATTCAATGAGATAACACAGGATAGCTGGTGAAAAGAAAAATCACATTTGAGCGTTGAGCTCCACTGTTCAGAAGTTTGTGCTCAGATGCAGTTATTGAGCGAGCTGAATTTCACCCTGCATCTAATTTCTCTCTATTACCCAAGACTGCTTGATGGAGCTCTTGTGGCACAGTGATTGTGTCTCTACTTCTGGACTAAGAGGTCTGGGTTCAAAACCCAGCTGCTCCAGAGCTGTATGAAAGCATTTGTGAAGAGGTTGATTAAAAATATTTGAGACCGCCTAATGTTAATACTAGGTTTTTGAAAGAAGCCTCCTTTATGCCCCAACTAATAACATTCCTTGCCTCAGTGAGCGCCATACACCATTTGATTAGAATGTAAAATACTGTAAGTGAAAAGTAGAGAGGGTACCCAAAGAACAAAGGAACAAGACCCGGCCATTTAACTCCGCGAGCCTATTCCACCATTCAATGAGATCATGGTTGATCTGTGGCTGAACTCCACAGATCTGTCTTTGGCCCATATCTATAATACATTTGCTTAACTAAAAATTATCTATATCAGATTTAAAATTAACAACTGATCCAGCATCTACTTCCATTTGTGGAAGAGAGTTCCAAACATCCTTTATAGTATAATACAGTTCATCTCTCCTGAACAGTCTGGCCCTAATTCTCAGACTGTGCCCCTAGTTCGAGAATCCCCAACCAGTGGAATTAGTTTAATTTGACCTACCTAAAGTTGTCTTTTAAAATCTTGAAGACTTCAATCCGGTCACCCCTCAGCATTCTAAATTCTCGAGAAGACAGGCCTAATTTATGTAATCACTCCTCAAAAATTAACCCCCGAAGTCCAGGTATCATTCTTGTAAACCTACATTGTACTTCCCCCAAGGCCAATATATCCTTCCTAAGGTGTGGTGCCAAGATCTGCTCACTGTATTCCCAGTGGATTCTAACCAGGGTTTTGTATAACTGCAGCATAACCTCTGCATCCTTGTACTCCAATCCTCTAGATAAAAAAGCCATTAGCTTTATTGATTATTTTCTGCACCTGTTCGTGACATTTTAAAGATCTGTGTACCTGAACGCCAAGTCTCTTAATGATGGGATTAGTCATTCACGTGTTTTCAGAATTATCTGTTCTTCAAAAATTTCATCCTCAGTGAGGGATTTTGCTATAATTTCCAAAATGACAGTTTTTCTGTAATCCAAGTGATTACTGAAGACAGGACTCGAGATTGTGACATATTCTGCCTGATGTGACTGTACTTTGTTTTTCAAATTTAAAAACAGCAATTTGAAAAATGGAAATGGCTGTCTACTTATTTTAAAACTTAATAAACGGGTAAATATTTGAAACCACATCTATATTACAGTGGAAGATACACTTATGTCCTTCACAACTGGAAGAATGTACTCAAAATCCACTATTACTTGACACACACCTATATTAATCAAGTTCACATTCAGCACTAAAGTGAGTATAGATCCCCAAATGTATCAACAAAGACAATTAGATTACTTCTCTGGATGCACTTCTGCCACAAACAGGAACTGAGAGTACAACAGGATCTTGATCAGGTGGGTCAATGGGCCAAGGAGTGGCAGATGGAGTTTAATTTTGATAAATGTGAGATGCAGCATTTTGGAAAGGCAAATCAGGGCAAGACTTATACACTTAATGGCAAGGTCCTAGGGAGTGTTGCTGAACAAAGAGACCTTGGAACACATTTTCATAGTTCCTTGAAAGTGGAGTCTCAGATAGATAGGATGGTGAAGAAGGCATTTGGTACACTTACCTTTATCGGTCAGTGCATTGAATATAGGCGTTGGAAGGTCATGTTGCGGCTGTACAAGACATTGGTTAGGCCATTATTGGAATACTGTGTGCAATTCCGGTCTCCCTGCTGCAGGAAGGAAGTTGTGAAACTTGAAAGTGTTCAGAAAAAATTTACAAGGATGTTGCCAGAGTTGGAAGGTTTGAGCTACGGAGCGAGGCTGAAAAGGCACGGCTATTTTCGGAAGCTGAGTGGTGACCTTATAGGGGTTTATAAAATCATGAGGGGCATGGATAGAGTAAATAGACAAGGTTTTTTTCCCAAGGTGGGGGAGTCTCAAACTAGAGGGGATAGTTTTAAGGTGAGAGGGGAAAGATTTAAAAGGGACCTAAGGGGCAACTTTTTCATGCAGAGGGTGTTGTGTGTGTGGAATGAGCTGCCAGAGGAAGTGGTGGAAGCTGGTACAATTACAGCATTTAAAAGGCATCTGGATGGATATATATATGGGTTTAAAGGAATATGGGCCAAATGCTGGCAGATGGGTCTAGATTTATTTAGGATATCTGGTTGGCAAGGAGAATTGGACCAAAAGGTCTGTTTCCATGCTGTATATCTCTATGTCTCTATGATACGGAAGTTTAGTTACAGATGAGTGGGGGAGGGGGCACAGGATGGGAATGGTCTTTGTTTAAAAACAGAGAATTCCTCAAATAGGCTGATTACAGGAAACCTTTAAAAATAATGGCCCACAGTAACTTCAAGTCATTCAAGAGCCACTTTGAAGTAATGCATAAGAGAAGTGTTGCAGTTTCAGATAATATTTGTGGTGGTACAAAGTCAGAAATACTCTGAAGAGAGGTAGTTTATTCACCGACATCCAACAAGTTGTTCTGTACATAAAGCCATATAATCATCATATTTAGGAACAAAGCAATTTCCATGTATTGTCATCTGTACATGCATCTATATATTTAAGTATATGACTTACATTTAAATATTCATGTTAAAGTTGATCATTGTAAAAGTCAGCCCCATTACCTTTGGCCTAAAAATACATAAGTTTCCCCATATCTCACGTAAGAGTAGATTTTCAAGCTACTTTGTGATAATTAATTACTTACCAGCAATTGCTACAATTCATTAATTTAAAGGCACCTGTGGGAACCTTTAGATTTTTCCTCCACCAATTCTAGCATCAGGACCTAGGACACATGGGTACATCAGGGCCCAGCAATCAGAGCTCAGGGCTTTAGAGAGCCCACTAAGCTCAGGTCAGTGACATGCAGTGGGTCCAAGGACCCTAACTAAAAGCTGCACATGGGTCCAGCATTTCAGTGCTTCCCCCTGAACCAATCAACAAGGCTAAGTGTATCACATGATCTATCACAATACCTTCAGAAGGAATAACATGTACACATCTTAATTTAAAGGTAGCAGAATTGGTGAACAAACATCAGCAAAAAAAAGATAATACCACCCTTGTAATTATCCAATTCTTTGGCCTCATTAAAGAAGAAAAATAGTATTCCAAATTTAAGGCCTGTACCAAATGGTACTCAAGATTCATAAAAATGTGTGATTCAGTACTTATTCAAAAAATATTAATATTTCACAGTATATATCACTTGAAGTCAATAATAATCAATTATTAAATTTCATCAAATTTGGCATATTTTATCAAGTAAACAATGCAAGTTGTTTATGCACTGGAAGTATGAATGACACTGATAAATTTACACATGGCAGCAAATAATACCAAGACTAGCGATAAACACATCCTTTTAAAGATGACTGACTGCAAGAAAAATTTAGTTTATGGTGGTTCTGTCTTGTGTGGTACAATGACAAAGATTAAAGCCAACGGTGATATTCAAGCACAAATCTCTTCCCAAGAAAAATTTCAGAACGGCATTGTCATCCACATTCATGAGAAAGGTTGGATAGCTGAAAGTAGTTGAAAGAATGGATCAAAAAATGTAGAATGTGAAACCAGCAAGACAATCCAAAAAAATCTTGGACATGTACAAAACCCACCCTGTTCACAGTATGGTCAATGATGTGAAATCAGTCAACACTGACATTGCAGTTATTCCTGGCAGTCAGAGTAGTGTTGCTCAGGTCTTGGATATGTGTAAACAAAAACTTCCAAGGACAGAATCCAAAAGATGTGGAACAATTTAATGTTGGAAGGTGAAGAAACATTCACCAAAGGCCGAAATATGCGAGTACCTTCATTAGCAACATTGTGTCAACCGGTCATAGATGTGTGGTATGAATTTCATCCCAATAGTGTGAAAAGATTTCTGCAATGTGGAATATTAAATGCACTTTTCACAACCTCATCCAAATAATTACTTCTGAATATAGTTAGAGAAAAGCTACAGAAAGCTGCAATACCAAGGGACTTGGTAGTTCTTGTGCACAAAACACAGACAGTTAGCACACAGGACCAGCAAAAAACCAGGAAGGCTAACGGAATGTTGGCTATTATTTCAAGAGGGTTGGAGTATTAGAGTAGAGAAGTCTTACTGCATCTGCGCAAAGTGCAAGTGAGACCACATCTGCAGTACTGAGAGCAGTTTTGGTCTCTTATTTAAGGAAAGATATCATTTTAAAGGAGGACCTTCAGAGAAGGTTCACTAGGATAATGCCTGGAATGGAGGATTATGTTATAAGCAAAAGCTAAACATGTTGGAACTGGAGTTTAGAAGAATGAGAGGTAATCTCATCGGAACAAGTAGGATTCTTAAAGGGCTTAACATGGTAAATATTGGGAGGATAGTTCCCTTCATGGGAGAGTCTAGAATTAGAGGGCATTGTCTCAGAATAAAGGGGTGTTAATTTAAGACTGAGATGTGGAGAAGTTTCTTCTCCCAAAGAGTTGTGAGTCTTTCGAACTTGTTGCCACTATGAGCTGTGGAGGTTGATGTCTTGTGTACATTTAAAGCTTAGATAGATAGATTCTTGATCAGTAAGGGAATCAAGGGTCCTGGATAAAACTCAGGAATGTGGATTAGAGGAATGTTGGATCAGCTATGATCCTATTGAATAGAAGACCAGGCTCAAGGGGCCAAAATGTCAACTGCTGTTCCTGTTTCTTATGGTCTTCCCGTCTTAATATCTAATTTCGGAAACAAAGCAGCCAATTTGTATACAGCAAGGCTCCACAATCAATAATGCATAAATAACCAAATGAGCTGTTTAAATTACATTGAGACATATAAATATTGAACAGGATATAAGGAGAACACCCCTGCTGAGCTATAAAATATTGCCATGGGATCGTTTCATATAATATGACATGTGGACATATGGATACAGTTTACGGTTTGTAAATTGATAGTATAAATTATTGAGCCATATGTGTGGCTCTTAAAAGAGCTCCAGAATAACAGATGTGATTTTTTTGCAGTTTTATATCCCTCATCCATTGTCAGTATTCCATTTTATCAATGTTCAGTATTTCAATTTCTGAAGTTGTTGTAAACAGTTTTCCTTTCAATATCACATTGTAATGAGGCCTCTGCATCCTTAGCTATTTTTTACGTGGGTTGATGAAGGTTGATACATGTGTCAGAATCAAAGGTTTACAGGAAAGCCAAAATAATCATGAAGCAGGATCAGAAAGGCTAAGCCCATGTTTCCTGACAACAAACTGACAGTTGTCAATTATTTATTAGCCTAAATCCTTCTTGTTTCATCTTCCAAAAGTTTTAAATCTCATTAATGTCCCCATTCCGTTAGCTTGTTTTGCACTCTAGTGATCTACCACACAGAATTGCCAACTCTCCAGGTTTGCCCTGGGTTCTCCAGAAATTAATTTATCTCCAGGAAAATATTTAAATGTTTTTAAATTTTCTTTGAAAGCTGTAGTTGTTTGGTTATAGAAATATTGGAAATAGAAAAATGCTGACTATACTTTCTCTTCCTTTGTACAAAAGATCGATACTGCATAGAACTGCCAAGACCAGAGGATCTCCTTGACTAATTCCAGTTACCTGGCCTGTGTTTTGGTGGGAGGGGCAGGTGTGGGTATGGCTTGGACATCCATCAAGAATTTCCTAGATATTTCCCACAAATTAGTCTAAGCTTTTTTTTTATCTATTTCTTTGTTTTTCACAGGAGATCAAGATAGGTGGGCAGACAGGTAGTGTTGAGGAGGCTGGGAGCCTGCAGAAGGTCTTGCACATGCTAGAAGAGTGGGCAAAGAAGTGACAGATGGAATATAATGTGGGAAAATGTGAGGCTATGCACTTTGGTAGGAAGAATAGAGCTGTAGACTATTCCAAGTTCAAGATTCTCTTAAGGTTAACATGGCAGGTTCAGTTGGCAGCTGGAAGGTAAATGCAGTGTTAGCATTCATTTTGAGAGGATTAGAATACAACAGCAGTGATGTACCTGCTGGGGCTGTTAGCGCTCAGGTCAGAATATTTGGAATATGTAAGCAGTTTTTAGCCCTGTATCTGAGGAAGGGTGTGCTAGCCTTGAAACAGGTCCAAAGAAGGTTACAAGAATTCTCCTGGGCATTAAGGTGTCATTTAAGGAGTAGTTGAGGACTCTGGTTCTGTACTCGATGGAGTTTAGAAGGTTGGGGAGTGTATCTCATTGTTACTTACTGAATACAGAGGGGTCTGAATAGAGTAGAGATGGAGAAGATGTTTCCACTAGTAGCGAGACTAGGACCCAAGGCACAGCCTTAGAGTGAAGGGATGACCCTTTAGAACGGAGATGAGGAGAGACATTTCTTCAGGCAGAGGGTAGTTAGTCTGTGGAATTCATTACCACAGGTCTGTGGAAGCCAAGTCATTGAGTGTATTTAAGACAGAGATAGGTTCTTGATTAGCAAAGGGATGAAAGATTATGGGGAGAAGACAGGAGAATGGGTTGAGAAACATATCAACCATAATTGAATGGCCGGGCAGACTCAATGAGCCAAGTGGCCTGATTCTGCTCCTATATCTTATGGTCTTAAGATTACAGGTGAGTTGGAGTGTGTATGTTGTGATACCTAAAGTAGCATATTTAGTGAAACAGGCTAGATGGACCAAAGGATCATTTTCTGCCTGAATTTTGTGTAGTAATAGATTAGAGGGCCTTGACACCAGTTGAAGCTGCTAGCACTGCCCACATTCTTTCTATGCCCCCTACAGTGGCTCAGTGACTAACATCAGTAAACTCTTCACAGACAAGGATTTAAAGCTGGAACATACACTTTTGTTGGGATGAGAATACCTAGTTAGGTAAAGCATCTGGTCTGTACTCAGCTCCTGTCTTTTAGAGTCATAAAGCCATACAGCACAGAAACAGATCCTTCGGTGCAACTTGTCTATGCTGACAGACATCCCAATCTGACCTAGCCCCATTGGCCAGTATTTGGGCCATATCCCTCTGAACCCTTCCTATTCATATACCTATCCAGAGGCTTTTTAAATGTTGTAATTGTACCTGTCTCTACCACTTCCTCTGGTAGCTCATTTCATACAGACACCACCCTCTGCGTGAAAAAGTGTCCCCTCAGGTCATTTTTAAATCTTTCCACTCTAACCTTAAAACTATGCTCTCTAGTTTTAGACTTCCCCACCCTAGGAAAAAGACCTTGGCTATTCACCCTATCCATGCCACTCATGATTTTATAAACCTGTACAAGGCCACCCTTTAGCCTCCGACACCCTAGGGAAAAAAGCCCCAGTCTATTCAGCCTCTCCCTTTAATTCAAATCCTCCAGCCCCAGCAACATCCTTAGAAATCCTTTCTGCACCCTCTCAAGTTTAACAACATCCTTCCTATAGAAGGGCGACCAGAATTGCACACAGTATTCTAAAAGTGGCCTAACCAATATCCTGTAGACCGATAACATGACATCCCAACTCTTATACTCAGTGCACTGATCAATGGCAGTATGTCAAAAGGCTTCTTCACCACCCTGTCCACCTGCAACTCCACTTTCAAGGAACAATGCACCTGCACCCCTAGGTTTCTTAAGTCCTGCCCTGGTTTGCGTTATCAAAATGCAACACCTCACATTTACCGAAGTTAAACTCCATCTGCCACTCCTCGGCCCATTAACCCATCTGATCAAGGTCTTCATCACTGTCCACTACACCAACTATTTTGGAGTCATCTGCAAACTTACTAACCGTACCTCCTATATTCAAATCCAAATCATTTATATAAAAGATGAAAAGCAGTGGACCCAGCACCAATCCTTGTGGCACACAGCTGGTCACAAGCAACCCTCTACCACCACCCTCTGTCTCCTACCTTCAAGCCAATTTTGTATCCACTCGGCTAGCTCCTGTTGGATCCCATTCGATCTAACCTTACTGAGCAATCTACCATGCGGAAGCTTGTCAATCACTGCTGAAGCCCATATATAGATTTTATTTTTGTCTTTCTATCATATGCCAACTTGGGAATGCTTGTAAGTAATTTTAAGTTCTTTTTATTTCCTAGGTTACAGCGTTTCAACTTTCGTGCAAATGTTGCACCCAGAGTGTAAGAGTATTCCAGAGCCTAACTTGCTTCCCGGACAACTGTCTCATGGTGCTGTTGGAGTAAAAGATGGCAAAGTCCAATGGATTTCAATGGCCTTTGAATCTGTAAGCTTTCAAAATAAGAATATAAAGAAATTTATTAGCATCGTGATTGCATTTTTTAAAATATCCCAAAAGCTGCTCACACAAAACAAGTTGCCTTTGTGTCCTGCAGTGGCATTTTTGCAGGAAAAGCAACAGCCAGCTCCCATCAACTATTGTTATCAATGTAGCACAAACGGCGATACAACAAATAATTAGTTTCCATGTTTTTAGTGTTCCTGTGTGGCGTCTGTCAGATCAAGTGCTATTCACCTACATTAATGATTTAGATGAGGAAGCTAAGTATCTCCAAGTTTTCAGATGATACATAGCTGGGTGGGAGGATCTGCTGTGAGTATGATGAAGAGAAGCTTTATTGTGATTTGGACAAGTTAAGTAAGTGGACAAATGTGCTGCAGATAAAATATCATCTGGGTACATATGAGGTTTTCTATTTTGGCAGCAAAACAGGAAGCCCGATTATCGTCTGAATAGCAATAGATTGGGAAAGGGAGATATGCAATGAGACCTGGGTATCCTTGTACACCACTTGTTGAAAGTAGATGTGCAGGTACAGCAGCAGTGAAGAAGGCAAATGGTATGTTTTAGTCTGAGTATGTTGATTGGCCTTTATAGTGAGAGGATTCGAGTACAAGAGCAGGGATGTCTTTCTGCAACTGTGTAGTGAATATAACTTCAGGAACAGGAGAAAAAAAATACTTTACTTTGAAAAGAAGTAAAGCTGGCCAAAATTCATTAAGATGAAAAAGTTCAAGGATATTGTTTTAGGTGAACAGATGGTTGGGCTTATTGTGTGCAGTCTTGGTCACCTTCTCTGAGAAAGGATATTATGGCTATTGAGAGAGTGCAAAGAAGGTTTACCAGACTGATTCCTGGAATGGCGGATCTGATGTATGGGGAAAGACTGGATCTGTTTGAACAATGAGGGAGATCTCATATAAACCTGTAAAATTCTAACAGGGTTAAACAGGGGAGATACAGGACTGATGTTCTCAATCACCAGGAAGTCCAGAGCCAAGAGTCTAAGGATCCAGGGAAAGCTTTTTAGGACAGAGATGAGGAGAAATTTCTTCACCCCAAAGAGAGTTGTGAGCCTGTGGAATTCTCTGCCACAGGAAACTTTTGAGGCCAAAACACTGAAGACTTTCAAAAAAGATGTAGATATACTTCTTAGGACTAAGGAATCAAAGGATATGGGCTGAAAGCAGGAACAGGGAACTAAATTGGATGAACAGCCATTATCATAGTTAATGGCAGTGCAGGCAGGAAAGGCCTAATGGCTGCTCCAAACTCTGGATTTCCATGTTTCTAAGAGTAGGACTGCTTTCCACTCTCGACCGAAGGCAGAACCTGAATCACAAATCCCAGGAGACGGGACATCTATGTGGCTGGAACATGCTGCTCAATCTGCAAGAAAGTATCAACAGCATCTATTTAAAACACTAACGTTGTGGAATTGCACCAACTGGGCAAACAAGCCTAATGAAACACCAAAATGATGTTTTTTTTTAATTACCCTGCACCATTTTGCCTTTACACTCTAAAAATTTTGTTGCTGTTTTGTAGGGCATATTGGGTCTCAACCCAACCTCTTAATGCCCTAATGATATCTACCTATGTAACTCAATGACCATGAACTTCTTTATCAGAACCATAAAAACCATAGAAATGATACAGCACAGAAGAGGGCCATTCGGCCCATTTTGTCCATGCTGACCCAAATTATGCTACTTAATTACCAATTCCTGCCAACTGGAAATAATTTTTCATCGTGTACCCTTTCAAACCTCCAATTTGTAATTTTAGTATATATTCTCTTTGACTTACTTTGCTCTCTGGAAACACTAATGCCATACTTACGAATATCTCATTGTTGCTATAACTTCACACCCATAATATCTTTCATTATTATTTATGTTGCAACTTTTCTACGGCTTCAATATCCTTTCAATAATGGAATAGCCAAAATAATACATGGCAAAGTAATCCTGACAGTGGAAAACTGTTGCAATTTTATATGGCTTACTTAAACATTCATTTAAAATCCCAAAAAAAAAAGGATACACTTGCTTGTGCTCAAATAAACTGCACAAAGTGACAATGTCAAGTCTCAATGAATACATAACGGTGGTGACGTAGGACCAAGCTCAAGATCAGTTTCTCTGACCAAACTCCAAAGGAAGAACTCGTACAAATGAATCTAGGAAACTAAGACAACTACAGGATCTGTTTATTGTTTACTCTAGCTTGATATTGAATTACCGTTAATTCATCCTTTTTTAATATAGAAGAAGAAACATAAATTAAAATACAATCAATCCAGGATTCTGAATTTTAATTGGGTCTGGAACACACAACACAAGTCTACAACAGTACAAATGCTCTTGAGCAAGTTACTACCTCAAAGACAGGTTTCACCTAGAACTAAGAGAGTGGGCAGTAATCAGCCACTACTTCTACATTACGTCCACCTCATAACACTAAAACAGATTATCTGGTCAAAGTAGTTTGTTGGAGCTTTAATTTCCTACACCACACCAGTGACTATACTTCAAAAGTACTTGATTGGCTACAAAACACGATGGTACATCTCAAGGTTGTTAATACATTTTGGCCACTTTTACTTCTTTTGCAAAATAAAGTCTCTTTTTTTTCTGTTTCTAAAGCTATATTCATCATAAAGCAAAGGTCTCTACCAATGCTAATTGATACTTAGCCACTGAAATGTGCTACCATCAGTCTTAGCATCCCTGTGCTGGTATAGGAAAAATCAACAAAGCTTCTGTTTCCAATAGCCAGTCAATTCTCTTGTTGAAGTGTATAAATGTGTTGTCACTGAGTATCTCTCCTTCAGACATTAGTTCTCACTTTGTATCACTCAGGAAATCTCATCCATTAGAGACAAAAAAACTGCAGATGCTGGAATCCAAGGTAGACAAACAGGAGGCTGGAAGAACACAGCAAGCCAGGCAGCATGTGGAGGAAAGGAACAGTCAACGTTTCGGGTATTCCCCTTCTTCAGGACTGGATGTGGGGGTAGGGGGAGCTGCAGATAAAGAGGTTGGGGGGAGGGGTGGAGGCAGAATGATGGTGATAGGTGGACATTGGTGTTAGGTACAACCTGGTTGGTCGATGGGAGGAATGAATCTGGTTGGTAGCTGCACTCATCGTCTCCTGCCCTACCGATCTCAGCTCTTCCTACCTCGACTCCATTCTCTCCTCCTTGGTTGAAGCACTCCCCACCTACATCCAAGACACAAACCACACCCTCCACCTCTTTGGTAACTTCAAGTTCTAGGGCCCACAGCACTTTATCTTCACTATTGATGTTCAATCCCAATACGTGACCATACCCTGCAAGGACGGCCTACAAGCCCTCACATTATTTCCTCTCCAACAGACCCATCCAGATTCCCGCCCCCCCCCCCCCCCCCCCCAACAACCAATACCCCGCTTCGACTCACCAAACCGGTCCTCACCCCCAATAACTTTTCTTTCAATTCTTCCCACTTTCTCCGAAACTAGGGGTTGCCATGAGCATGCGCATCGGCCCTAGCAACGCCTGCCTGTTTGTCAGTTATGTCAAACAGTCCCTCTTCAGTACATACACCAGTACTGTTCTCCAACTCTTCCGCTGTTACATCGATGACTGCATCGGTCCTGCATCCTGCACCCAGGCTGAATTGGAGCAGTTCATCGACTTCACTACACTTTCCACCCTGCCCTCAAATTCACTCAGTCTCTCTCAGACACTTCCCTCCCCTTTCTTGACCTTTCCGTTTCCAACACTGGTGACAGTTTACAGACAGACATTTACTGCAAACCCACAGACTCCCATAGCTACCTAGACTACACCTCCTCCCACCCTGTATCCTGCAAAAACTCCATCCCGTTTTCCCAATTCCTCCATCTCCATCATATCTGCTCGGACGAGGAGATGTTCCACTGCCAAGCATCCTAGATGTCAGCCTTTTTCAAACAATGCTCTTCCCCCTGCCCCGTCATCCAGACAGCCCTCCATTATGCCTCCTCCATTCCCCGCTCCACTGCTCTAAATCAACACACCCCCCCAAACATAATAAAGATAGGGTCCCCTTTGTCTTCACTTTCAACCCCATCAGTCTCCACATCCAATGTATCATCCTCAAACACTTCAACCAACTCCAATTAGACCTCACCATTCAGAACATTTTCCACTCCCCATCCCTCTCTGCCTTACACAAGCACCATCCCTTCGCCACTCTTTAGTTCGTGCCACACTCCCCACCAACCACTCCAACCCACCTGGTATCTTCCCCTATAACAGTAAAAGATGCAACATCTGTCCACACACTACCTCCCTCACCTCCATTCATGGCCCTAAACAGCCCTTTCAAGTGAGACAGAGCTTCACCTGAATCTCCTCCAACCTTGTCTATTGCATCCGGTGCTCCCAATGTGGTCATCTCTACGTCGGTGAGACCAAACGTAAGTCTAGGTGACTGTTTCGCTGAGCATCTCCGCGTAGCCCATAATTGCCAAACTAACCTCCCTGTCACCGCCCATTTCAACTCCCCGCCCACTTCCCCTCTGACATGTCCATCCTCGGCCTCTTCCAGTATCATAGCGACTCGGAACGCAAATTTGAAGAACAACACCTTATCTTCTGTCTAGGCACCATACAACCCAGAGAGGACTCAATATTGAGTTCTTCAATTTCAAATAACCTTCCCGCCATCCCCAGCTTCCCGTCCAGCCCCACCCCAGCCACCAATTGGATTCATCCCTCCTGTCGACCAACCAGTTCATACCTACCACCAGTGTCCATTTATCACCACCATTCTGCCTCCACCCCTCTACCCCACTTTATCTGCAGCTCCCCCTACCCTCACAACCTGTTCTGAAGAAGGGTAATATCCAAAACGTTGACTGCTCCTTTCCTCCAGATGCTGCCTGGCTTGCCGTGTTCTTCTAATCTCCTCCATTAGTTTTCCACCACATGTGGAAACCAGTGAGAACTAAGTGTACTGCAAGCCAACTGTTAGTGCCACACTCATTTAGGAGTCAACCATTTTACTGATTCAGGAACTACATGTGCAAAAAGTGCAGCACATTTTAACTGGTATGCAGTTTGTTATGAGATGTCATTTCTTGCTTAAGGCAGATCGGGGAATTAATTTTTGCAGAAGACACCATCTTAAGCAAAAATGCACCCAAAAACAAAAGAAAAACCCAACATTTTTCCCAACAGAGTGAAGGAATATTGGAGGAAAAAGTGATGTTTTCTTTATGTCTCTGATGCCATCTGCTGCGCAAGACAGTTTTCTTCAACAAACCAAAAATACGGATGAAAACCAAATGAACATCACCCTACAAGGAATCATGCTAAGACTAATGGAATTTATTCCAGTTGGGTCCATTTGTAATTTCAAAGTATGTCATTCAACAAAAGCTGAACTATTTAGGGATAATTTTGTTTAGTGAACAAAAAAAATGAGGGATTGCCAACCCATAGAAAGATTCCAAAAATGTCCTGATTTGTTTCACATACAGTGAAGCACCTTGAAGTATGGAATCTACTTTCTATATAGGCAACCTCAGCATTCAGTTTACCCATGGCATGATTCCACAGACAAAGAGTCATGTAGGACCACATCGTGGTCATGGTTCATAGAAAAATATTTGTCAAGAAACCAGGAAATTACAGTACTTAATATATTTGTAATTCAAACAAATGTGCCAAACTAGGGCAAACATGGAAATGGGATGAATGAGATCCAACCAACAATGTTTTTTTTTTGAGGATTATTAAGGAATTTGACAGAGGAGAGTAAGAAAACCTAAACAATTTAGTAAAGATTCCAGAATCAAGGGATCAAATAATTAAAATTCAAAACATAAGTTGATGATGGTATATCCCACAAAAATGTTTTGCATTATATTTTAGGCAGAAATATGATTTAATTGATACAATATGTGATTGAAGGTATTTTAATCCCCTTTGTTATCTCCTTGATTCTTCACAGACAACCTATAAAGGAAAGTCCTCATTTCAGACATATGCAGACTACTTGAAATGGGAGAACTACCTTCAAGAGCAGCTACATCAGTTTTCAGAACAATCGTCACTACGTCATGGATTCCAGACTTGTGAGCACTGGAAACAGATTTTCATGGAAATAATAGGCAAGTCACAGGAAGATCAGTGTATTGATTGATGAGATAAGATACAATTGCCTGAAGTTTTCAAATGATAGTTTATTTCAAACGTATTGCTATTGGGATTAAAATAGCACTGATCAGAAGATCCAGATTGCACAATAGATACCACTGAAAGAGCTATTTCCAGGGGATTAATTTCAGGTATTGCTATATAAAAGGAGCAGGAGTGGGCCAATCAGCCTCTTTTTTTTCTCAAATGAGAAAATAAATAACATTGGTTTGTGCTAAATAACATTCCTAGTAATTTGTACTGATTGATATTTTACAATGGCATCGACATAACTAGATCCTTAGTAATCTGTTTCAGATCCAGATGAAATGGGAGTTGGTCAATACAGATATAATGTCATTGTCCTCTGATTGACACAGAGTATATATGTACGACTTTGCCTAAATTTAGTTTTTGGCCCTTTTTCAAAGGAAACTGGCTGTAAATTATCCTTAGTTTGTTTTTGGGTCCATTGATTTTCTGTGACATGCAGCAGTTCCCTTTTTCCAGGCTTTAATCATCATTGGGTCAAAATCCTGGTATTCCTGAATTATGAGCACTATGCGAGTATCCTCACCATACTGACTATATCAGTTGTAGTCGCCAAAGTCCCAGAGGACCGTAGGGCTGCTGTCTCATTAGAGAGAGATGATTCTAGTGGTGAATTTCACTTGAGAGTCATCACGCCTCAGGTCAAGAAGACAGGACCTTCACAGTGATCTCATCCAGTGTGGAAATTGAATCTGTACTTTGGCATCACTCATAGCACATCAGCTGTTCAGCCAACTGAGCTAACCAACTCACTGAAGAAGAATGCTCATCAACATCTTCTCTTGACCAATTGGGAATGGGCATTTTTTAATGTGTTCATGGAATGTGGGTGTCGCTGGCTAGGCCAACATTTATTGTCTATCCCTAAGTGGCCTGGAGAAGGCAGTGTTGAGCTGTCTTCTTAAATCACTGCAGTTCTTGGGTGTAGGGACACCCACAATCCTGACAGGAAGGGAGCTCCATGATTTTTACCCAATGACTGAAAAGGAATGGCAATATAGTTCCAAAGAAGGTGGTGTGTGGTTTGGAGGGGAGCTTGCTGGTGGTCATGTTCTTATGCATCTGCAGCTCTTTTCCTTCAAGGAGAAAGAGTTCATGGGTTTGGAAGGTACTGCTGGAGGAGCTTTAGTGAGTTACTGCAATGTATCTTCTAGATGGTACACACCACTGCCCTGTGTATCAGTAGTCAAGGGAGTAAATGTTGGAGGTGGTGATGGGATGCCAATCAAGTAGGCTGCTTTCTCCTGGATGATGTCAAGCTTCTTGAGTGATGTAGAAGTACACTTATCAGTGCAGTACTCACCAGGCAAGTGGAGAGTATCCCACCATACTCTTGACTTATACCTTATAAATGTTGGACAAGCAATTGGGAGTCAGCGGGTGAGTTCCTCATTACAAAATTTCTTGCTTCTGCCCTGTTCTTGTAGCCACAATATTTATATTGTTGGACCAGCTTTTTTTTTCCATTCCTGAGATGTGTATGTCACTGGCTGAACTGGCTCTTATTGCCCATCTCTAACTTCCTAAAGGACAGTTAGGGACTGAATTCCGGACTTTGTCTCTGCGACAGTGAAGGAACCACAATGTTTTTCCAAGTTATGATTGAGCGAATGCCATTGATGAAACAGCTGAAAAATGTTGGGCCCATGACTTTGTCCTGAGAAACTAGGGCTCCTGTGGCACCGAGATAGTTGTCCCTACCTCTGAACCAGGCGGCCCAAGTACAAGTCCCACCTGTTCTAGAGGTGTGTAATAGCATCTGTAAACAGGTTGATTAGAAAATCAAATCTATCCTGAGAAATTCCTGCACTGATGTCCTGGGCTGAGGTAATTGATCTCCAACAAGTGCAACCATCTCCCTATGTGCTAAGTATGACTCCATCCAACAGAGAGATTTCCCTCAATTCCTTTGTCCAAAGTTTTGCCAGAATTCTTTAAAGCTGTACTCTGTCAAATGCAGCCATGATGTCAAGGGCTGTCACACTCAGCTAAACCCTGGAACTCAGTTCTTTTGACCATGTTTGCAATAAAGTCAGGACCCGAGTGGCCCTAGCGTAACACAAACTGAGTGTCAGTGAGTAGGTTATTCTTTTACATGTACCGCTTGCTGTTAATGTCATTTACTAAGTATGATCTCTTCTGTAACTTTGCTGATGATTGAAAGTAAGCTGATAATGAGATAATTGATCAGGTTAGATTTGTACTGCATTTTTACACAGGATACACCTGGGCAATTTTCCACATTATCAAATGTATGCTACATTAGAACAGCTTCACCTGGTGGCTCATATTGTCCTGGACCATAAATATTTGGTACTGTTGCAGGAATGTTGTCAGGGCCCATAGCCACTGGACCATCCAGTGGCTTCATATTATGATCTTTATATCATGCGAAATGAATCAAATTGGTTGAAGTCTGGCATTTATGACACCGGGGACCTCAGGAGGAGGCCAAGATGGATCTACTCGGCACTTCTGGCTAAAAATAGATGGAAATATTTGTCTTCTCTTTTGCACTGATATGCTGGACTCCCCGATCTTTGGGATGGGGATATTTATGGAGCCTGCACCTCCTGTTAGTTGTTTAATTGTCCACCACTGTTCACAACTGGATTTGGCAGGACTGTAGAGCTTCGATTTGATCTATCGATTGCAGGTTGATGTAACGCTGTCAGTGTATTGTAGTTTCTGAATTGTAGTTTCACCAAGCTAACACCTCATTTTTAGTTATGCTTGGTGCTGCTCCTAGTATGCCTTCCTGCACTTCATTGAACTGGACCATAGGTTACAGATTGTGATGAATACAATTCTGCTGCTAATGGCCCACACCACCTCTTTTAACATGGTGTTAGTGTCACAGCGGATAATTACAGGGTATCCTCAATGTAAAGATGGGACTTAATCTTTACAAAGAATGTGCTGTAGTCATTCTTAACGATACTGTCATGAATAGATGCATCTGTGACAGGTAGGTTAGAAAGGTCAAGGCAGGTAAATTTTTACCTCTTTTTGGTTCTCTCACATCTTCCATAGACCCACTCCAGTAGCTATATCATTTAAGACTCAGCCAGCTCAGCAAACAGCATTTTTTGTTGACCTCAGTCCTATGTATTTTCCATTTAGGTTATGTATCATTAAAGAAACAAGTCAATGTAAATACCATTGCATGTTAACACCAAAACACAAAATACTAAATGATATGACATTGTTGTTGCTACAAGTAAATGTCTTGCTGTGGACAATAATACCAGGAGATTGCTGGTGGATATCAACAAAGAGCAATACCTGGTATTAAGTTAAGGAGGTTTGCATCTGTTAATTAACATACTGAAGCTTCAGTCTCACAATTCATGATAAAATAACTGAATCACTGTTGTTCATCTATGGTTTCATATTCCATTATCCTTTGAAATGACTCGGGAAACATTATATCATCTTATCCCTCTCTGCAGGTGTTCAGAGTGCAATGTATAGTTTGATTCTCTCCCTGGTAATCTGTATTGCTGCAGTCGCTATTTTCACCACCCATGTTCTACTCCTTTTACCAGTCCTGCTGACCATCCTAGGTAAGAAAACCACTGATTGTGTCATCCTACCCATTAGTACACAGTTTGTAAATGCAACAGGATTTGAAAACTTGTGGATAATTGGGCAAATTGACTTTTAATGGCTTGCATTTTGCTTTCCAGTAACACCTTAAGATAGCAGCAAAGTAAACATATACAATGAAAATTTACAGGAATGTTTATTTAATCGTATTGACTACACTATATCAAAAGTAATATATTGAGTCAACTCAAGGACACAGAATACATTGCATCAATGCAAGTTCTTTTCCATTTCTTGAATATTCACAAAATGCATTAATTACTTTCTAGAAGTTCTAATCTAATTTTTGTTATTAATTGATTCGATAACACATGCACTAATCTAGAAAACCGGCAATGGAAATAACATCCACCCCCATTCTCCACTAAACCAAACCTGACAATAGGTAAGTGCACTGAATGTGCATTAAGACATATGCTTGTTGCTTAAGCTGTGTGTATGCCCAACAATCTTTCACTCATGTTGCAGAGTTAATTATAATTGCATGAAGGTCTAAAGAGAGGTGCAAAAACTCTGAATTTTATTTTAGGGAGTTTTTGAGCATGCACCCTTGAAAATATTTATTACTCAATTTAGAAATGCAATCTTTCAACCATCCAAACTTTCCAATTATGCTAGCATCATCTTCATCTACCCCCTTAATTAAAACCACCACTTTCCTTCTCCACAGTCAGAACAAGATTTATGTTGGCACTGTCCTTCCTTGACCCAATCTAGTGTTTGCAGTGGTACTTGACTTCCTTCCAGAGCCTATATGTGATGTAATCAATATCCTTCTCTCCTGCTGTCAGTGTTCCCAGTTTCTACCTTTCCTCTCCCTGTCAGTTCTATCTCATGAAGCTCTGAAACCGAGCCCTTTTGTTTTTGTCGTTGTAAGTTGAAGTGATTTATTGTTAGAATAAACAGTAGGTAGGATTTCTTGACGTTACAAGAATTCCTATCCACACAATATAACTGCATTCAGTCACTTTTGGCTGGTGTAGATGTTCCCCATCAAGGACTTAAGAACCATTCCTCTAAAACTCTTGAATGTCTATGTCATAATCCAGTTACTTTATGTATTGTAAGGACTCTTTTTTTTTACTTTTGTGTTTTGTGAAGTGTGGACTATTTTAAAACCAGTGTTTTACAGCTGTTTATACAAGAGTAATTGAAGTTTAGTTAGTAGACAAACTAGAGCCGAGGGGTTCTATGGAGGTTCAATGTATTCAGATGGAGGTCTGATTAGCAACAAGAAGTTGACTGCTGTATCACCTAGTCACCAGTTATCAATGACAAAGACATTTTGCCTGCCAACAACTATGTAATTGGTTGTCTAGTAACTGAACAACTTGAAGCTAGGATCAACATATGGAGCAAAAAAAGGTCTCCACTAGCCAGGAGCTTGCTCTCCATTCTCTGCGGTAAACCACTTTAACCCAGTTTATTTTTTCTTCAGCAGTTGCTGTAAGCTGTGATTTTAAATGATAAGTTAGAGACCTTTTTTTAAGTGAACTAGACACTGTGTCTCTTGCAAACCAGTGAATGCACTTGAAAAAGACAAGCCTAAAAGAAGCCTTCTAATCAGGGAGAACTAACTCAACAAATATTGTGAATTAGGACTACTGGACTGCTTTTTTCAGTTTTCCTTCAATCCCTGTATCTCCTGCCTATGTCTCTAAAGCCCGACACCGATAAAAGTTCAAGATATTAAAGGTTGTCAAAAATTAGAGCGGTCCAACAACCTTAAAGAGACTGCTGAACTGAAAGCCTAGCTATTAACTGTCATATAACACTGAGGCCTTGAAGACTGATAAACAAAGGCTACAGCAGATTTCCAAAAGAAACCTGTACAGAGGTAGCCCAGTGTTCTTACTCAATTATTATGAAAATAGTCAGAGTTCAAAGATCATTGAACATTACCATCTGAAGAAATTGTTCCGCCACAATAAATGAATGATAGCCTTACAGATGGAAAAAAATGTCTTGAAAGCAAGAACAAAACTCTCCAATGTTGCAGAAGGCTATCAGAGAGAAGCAAGTCCTTGCTAAGGATTAAGATTACATGCAGGATAAGCATGAATGTTTGAAAAGAAAATGCATGAGGAAGTCACCCAAATTGTCATCCAGCCTACAGACTACAATGGTATGCAGGAACATTTTATATATACTGATCCAGAAATTTATTTCTTCACTGACAATGATGCACTGCTATCTTCTAATAGAGTTTCAGAAATATTCATGTCTGCAGAGAAGCTGCCATCCCACTCCACCCCGAGCCCTCTCTCCTACACAATGACAATGTGTCCTCCAAGGCAACTCAGAATGCTGTCAGATTAATGTGTCAGGTGGAGGAGAGGGGATGTGGGAGTAAAGACTTAAATGTTCATGGGATACCATAAAGGAACTTAGGGTGATGTAGACCAAAGGATTAATTATAACTATACGAAGAGTTACTAAATGTGCAAAAATAGCTAATGTCATTGTGCTTTCAGATTAAGTGGAATATATCTGTAAGGTTCCAGCAGTATATCTTCTCATATCATGCTTTGTAAAATGTTATATTTAATAAAGCCTATTAATGGTTACTCATAGGAATGCAAACTTCATGTTACCACAGAGGCAGCCATTTATAACATTTAATTTAATTGATATAGTATTTGAGGCTAACTTCAGCTAGCCCATAGTCTCCCAACATTTTATTTTGACTTCTCCCTATCTCTGAAGTCTCCTCCAGTCCTATAATTACACATCACCCCGCCCATTTCTTCACCCAACATTGGCTTCTATCACTAGATCTTCTCTTGTTCCTGTAAGACCATCGTTAAAACCAGACGGAGGCTCCTAACAATTATTTTTTGGCCTAGCATCTATTTTTCTTTTCTCTGCTGAACATCAGTGAAGGATTTTTTTGTGTGTTAAGGGTGCTACCTAAGTACAAGTTTTGAAATACTCTCCTATTCATGGATTTCTGAAATGTAAACAATTGACAGTTGAAGGTAGAGCAGACTAACTGATAAATGGCTAGAAATGCTTATGACTATAGAAAATTTGCTGAAATTAAATGCTGAAATGAATCAGCAGAGAATATTGTCAATCTAATGTGACTTCATCTCAAGAGTCCATATGTATCCCCACAATAGACATCACCACAGGGATACCACCAAATGATGTGGTGGCATCAGGAACTCATCTTTGTGATTATTGTCGAATCAGAGATAGTAGGAACTGCAGAACCCCCCAATGCAAG